CTACATTTCAGGATGGAAAACAACTGTTCCGTGATGGCGTCTATAAGAGAGAGGCACGTGCACGCGATATCAGACAATTCCAACAGTACGTGGAGACGGAAGAAAGCAGGACGACAGTGTGCCGAGTTACGATGCCTGGAATGCCTGGGACACAAGGAACTCACTTGTTACGCCGCGCCGACGGCAGCGCTTTTGTTCCCGGCCTTTTACAGGATACAAACGTGGTAAGTAACTTCACCAGCACTACACTTCCTGTTCGTGGTTTACAACCACCAAAATCTCCCGGATTATAGCTGCCGAACTTTCAGTGTTCCCAACAGCCAAAAGCATCTGCAGTATTCCATGTTAGTGATGTTACTAGACTACTGCGGCAAGTCGAGCGTTGATATGTCGGCGGCGCCCCTGCGATCCTTAGCTGCTTGACTTCGGCTGCTGCAACCAGTAATTCATGAAAAATAATTAGATTTTGGCTATTTCAGAGAGTGGAGCAGAGTCAAGCAGGCATCGCTGGCTCTTCGCGGGGTGACCGCGTTTCCACCAAAACGTCAAGGGACCACGAAATTTACCTCCAGGAACTTGCTGCTGCAGTTGCGGCTAGAGATGAGACTGTTCAACGTGTAGAAGCGTGGACGGTACAATCAGATACGGAAGACAAAACGGCGGAATTTGCAAGAAAAGGGGGTGGAGGTGCCCGACCAAAAGAAGCTCGTCGTTACAAGCAAGATCCCCGAGCCACACACACAATCGAATCCCCGGAAATCCCGGAACCATCCGAAGAAATCTCGTTACCATCGCCGTCTTGCGAAATGATGGCACAAGCAGACTTCGTCCTCCCGGTCAGAGACGTCAAGAGAATGATCGCCGAATACGAAATGTTCATCCAGAGTGGAGTGAGCAGACTGACCTCTGAGAGCTCCCGGGCAACGTACACCAGACTGTCAAAGCCAGTGCCAGCAGCCCGAATCGAATTCGAACAAATCCATCCCTCGTTGCGTTGGACAGCAGGGTCTGCATCCAGAAAAGCCCCCGGATCTCCCGGCACCGCTGTGCCAGCAGGCGGAATTGAATTTGCACAAATCCCGGAAAGCGCGGCGCAACAGGCTGGTAGAACTGTAACCATGCCAGTCCTCAGACCACCAAGTAAGCCAGCTCGCTCAGGCACAGTTCAGTCGGTACGAGTCCTCAAAACAGGCAAAACACTGCAGTCCAGTGAAGTGGAATCCACGGATATCCGGGAATCATCCGAAAAGGCGGAGCATTCAGGCAGAACTGAATCTGTAGAACTCCCGCAATCACTGCGGAAAACTGTCGATACAGGCAGAACCGGATACACGCGAGTCCTCAGACCTGGAAAGACGATGCAGTCAAGTGAAGTTGAATCCGCGCAAATCCCGGAACCATCTGAAAGAACGGGGTATTCAGACAGAAGTGAGCCTGAGGAGCTGCCGAAATCATTCCGGAAGACAGTCGACTCAGGCAGTGCTGAATCCGAGCGGGTCTTTACATCAAGCAAAACGCTGCACCTACGTGAAAGCAAATCCAAGAAAACTTTGAAACCATACGAAAGACCGATACAGCCAGGCAGGACCGAATCTGCGGAACTGCCGAAGTCACAGCAGAAGACTGTCGACACAGGAAGAACTGGTTTCACGCGAGATTTCATTTCCAGCAAAACATTGCAGTCCAGCGAAATCGAATCACCGCAAATCCCGGAACCATCCGAAGTGAGGAGGCATCCAGGCGGAACTGAATCTGCGGAACTACCAGGAACACCCCGCAAGACGGGCCAACCAGACAGAAGTGGATTTACGCAAGAAGACAGTTCTGACAAACCGACGGAGCCCGATGAATTCGAATTCGCAAAAATCCTTGGATCATTCAAAAAGGCAGCGCATTCAAGCAGAACTGAATCTATGGAAATTTCGAAGTCACACCGGAAGACTGTCGGCACAGGCGGAGCTGAATTCACACGAGATTTCAAACCTGGCAAAAGGTTGAAGCCCAGTGAAATCGAATCGGCTCAAATTCCGGAACCATCCGAAAAGGCCACCCTTTCAAGCAAGGCTGAATCCGTGGAAATCCCGAGATCACGCTGGAAGACTGTTGACACAAGCAGAACTGGATTCACACGAGATTTCGTTTCCGGCAAAACGTTGCAGTCCGGTGAAATCGAATCGGCGCAAATCCCGGAACCATCCGAAATGAGGAGGCATTCAGGCAGAACTGAATCTGCGGAACTACCAGGAGCACCCCGCAAGACGGGCCAACCAGGCAGAAGTGGATTTACGCAAGACGGCAGTTCTGATAAACCGACGGAGCCCGATGAATT